AACCATTTGATGCATTCAAATAGAATGCCCTTTTTCGAAGAAAAATAGTTTATTTTATTGGAATTTGTGAAAAAAATCATGTTTGTTTACATTTTTGATGTCACTGAAATGTCGAGGAGCAATATGCCTTTTGTTGTTTTGTAAAAACTATGTACTTTTAGAACTGGATTTTCTCACATACTGATCATAATGTTCGACCATTTTGACAGACACTTTTATTTTGTTGTAAATTTGTCCGTGTAATTAGTTAAATAAGATTATTTAATAACTTTTCAATTTCTTCTCGATTAAATTTCTTTCACGATCCGGTACCAGAGCTTTCACGATCGTCTCGCAATACTTGACCTCCGTTAGATATTCTTTCACGATCATTTCTCTCGATAAACCGAATGACACCCGTGTTAGCGAGTACACACACATTTTGTATTCAGACAATGTACATTTATTGTTTATATCCTACAATTAATAACTGGCGCTTTAAGGTTCGTGGCATATAAACTCTTATGTATTTAATTATTTTGAAAACAAAATAAAAATTATGTCTAATGAATAACCATGATGAAATAATTGTTTTTTTCATAATTGAATCGTGCATTTGTGTATTGGATTACTTAGTTGCCTTCTTTCTAGTGCTATTTATTTTGTTTACTGACAAATGACGAAATAACGCAATAGTTAAAATTAAATATTTTACAAAACTTTGTCACGATTAAAAAATTAAAACCGACTGAATGAATTAAAATATGAGAATTCAATGATTATCGATGTCGAAATTGGCCGTCGGTAATAAACAGTCAGTTTGTGTAAAAGAAATAGCTACCAAATTTGTTTATTACGTATGTACAAAGTATATGTATATTGTATATAATCAGCCCTTCTGTATATTACTTGTTTTTATAATTGATTCAACAATTTTCGCTTGTGCAGGTGTCAATAACGGTGATGTTCACACCACGAGTAGTGATAAATGACACAATAACAGCGATCGATCAGTAAAAATTGCGTGCCGTATGCGCGTGCCGTATGCTGAATGTCGCCCCTCCTCTGAAAAGGACGCTAATTTTTATATAAAATCTCGCAAAATTATGACCCATATTTTGGCACATCCCCGTTCACCCAATAATAGGAAGTGAATTCGTCACCATCATGGTTTCAAAGAGAAAGTAAAACGTTAAACGCCGGATTCAGTGTCGTCCAATTAAAACACTCGTTACATTGTTCTTTTGTATATTTAGAAATCGAGATAAACCTAGATTTTATCGAGAAATTAGATAATTCATTATCTGAAATTGAGAAAATTAATTATCTGGAGATAAATTAGGATTATCTGAAAATCGATTAGAAAAACCTAGATTTTCTTAATATTTTGAGATAAATCGGGATTTTCTCCAGATAATGAATTTTCTGTATTTTCTGAGATAAACTAGAATTTTCTCGAATTTGAATTAAGCTGAGATAATCTTAGTTTATCTGAGATAAACCGGGATTATCTGAGATAATCCTAGTTTATCTGAGATAATCTAAGATTAATTAATAAAAGTGGTTCAGGCGTGCCAAAATACATGCTTCAAAGCCATTTTTCTCATACTCTTTGCAGACTCCAAACATTTAAACAAAAAGTTGTTAAGAAATAGGGGCAATTTATGACAAGATCCATAAAGAATGAAAACAGAATCTCAAATTTCAACAAAATGAACAATTTTTAAAGAAGATACAGATAATTCTCATAACTGTAGACATAAATTGGTATTGGGAACAAATTATCATTTATTCTATGGATGATTGAATAGAGATGACCTATGTACTAATACATCTATGTTTTTTATATTCCTTAATTTATATTTCAGCAAGAAATGAAGAAATACTCAAAAACTCGAAGGACAATGATGAAAAGATGTTCATAAAGACAAGAAATTCTTGAAAAAAAAACAAACAAAAATACTTGCTGCATGCCGGTTACAAGTGTATCTAGATGAAAAGTTTGAATCGTTAACAATTTTTAAGTCATGCGTATGCAACTTGTTATCAGAGACTATATGTTTGTTAAAAACTGAAAAACAGTCAATTGCAGAGTTATATCTGAAAACTAAAGCATCAGAAATTACTGACTATTGCAATTTGTATGACTGTTATCCGCTATTATGTAAACTGTACCATGATAGCCCAAAACTTAATATTATAGATTTCTTTCAGAATCCACTTTCAGTTTATGAAGCAGAAATCATTAATCTACAGAAAAAAGGGCATCCCACTAAATACTGTGCTTTGGCTTTATGTGTCATGTTTAACAACAAGTTGGAGGAAGAAATTTTCACAAAGGAGGTGAATGAAGAAACTAAGACTATTATTGAGAACACATGTGAGGCCTGTAGATTATACAGGGGAACATCACGACTTATGTTACAGGATGGTCTTAAATAACTGAAAGATACGTTTATAAAACAAGAACAAAACATGTACAAGATTTTAAATGATAAAATATTCGACTTTTTAGCATACTTCTTTGGAAATATAATAATAATAATGCTTAATAAAGAATGCAGACAGTCGTTTGGTTAAGGAAAGATTTTTATTAGAAAAAAACGACATGGGTCAATTTATTACAATTATACCATCACAGTATCATCACATGTACATACAGAGAATGATATATGACTGGTCAAAGGGGGAGGTTCTAGCTGTATTTAATAACATCAATATGAAGAGACCTCAGTTCAAGAAGAGATTTTTGTTTCAAACGCTTGATATATCTTACAAGAGGCAGCTGGCACATATCTGTGATAAACATAAATCAGACAAACATTTTTCTCATAAAAGCATACCAATAGTAAGTTGTTATGTGATGAAGATCTGAATTATGACTCCTTTGATACTGCTTTATTTCAGTGTAGTTATATAGGAGATATTCCCTGAGTCTTGTGGTGTTGTAAGCAAGGTGTTATATGAGTGGCCGTTCGTGTCTTTGGCGGTATGAACACACCGTATGAAATTTTCAACGTTTTTACTTTCAACGCGTTGGTTTTTACTTTCAACGCGTTGATTTTTACTTTCAACGCGTTGGTTTTTACTATCAACGCGTTGGTTTTACTTCCAACGCGTTGGTTTTCACTATCAACGCGTTGGTCTTCACTTTCAACGCGTTGATTCGTAATTCATACGGTATGAAAAACCAACGCGTTGGTTTTCAATTCCATACCGTAAGTTTTTCATTCCATATCGTAAGTTTTGTACTTTTGTCGGCCAATCAAAATGTTTGTTACAAAGTATTTTCTAAAAATATCCAGTCGTCATCTAACTATTCGGACAGCCTCCGGATTTTTCTTGATATTGGCGGTAAAGTATAAGTATGGCTGAATCGTCCGCAGCCCGTCTGCAAATGTTGATAAACAGGGCACAAAGATTAAATACAGAAGCAGCAAGACCACAAGTTGTCGAAAATCAAGATGACGATGATTTCTTGTCTGGGTAAGGTCCGGTAAAAGATTTTTGATAATCAAAATTTACGTCAAAACAATATTTCTTGTATTTTTATATATACACGTCCGTGTTATTATTTTATTGATGTGGTGTTGTAACATGTATCAAAGGGACTTGTCTAGTTGGTCAGACGAGTTTTAGATAACTATTTCCATACAATATTAAGTGTTTAGATACAGCTTTTCTTACACGTGTCAGTCATGTCAGTGTCATCATCTTGTGTTGTTATTGTATGTAACCCAAACAATACAATTATGTCAAAAGTTTATATCCATAATTATTAAATCGAGAAAAGAATTATTGAGGTCTGTTAGATTTGATAATTTTGGATGTTAATTTTTATGAAGTCCGTTACTGTATTATTAATATTGTACTGAACTGAACTGATAATTTGCTATCATCTTTGTTATTTTTGGAAAAATATCTTGCAAACTTCAGCCAATGCAGTTATTTTGCCTACACGCTTGAATGTATGCTCTGACGAGAACACAGACTATCAAGAAATATATTTGGACTTAATATCATGTAGTTTTTATTAACCATAAACATATATCAAACATGTGTACCTTCCTCGATCATTTTCTGATGTATCATCGTCCATTGTATCCGTAGTGCTAATCCGGCTGCAATAATTCACCATTTCCTTGAATCGATCTAAAAATCGCTCCCGGTCTCCTCTACGTGTAGCCATGTAGCAAGTCAGTAAGTATCTTCAACAACGGAGAATATTTTTTCCCGCCAAACTTAACAACAATCTGGAGTCCGTCCGAACGGTTGATTAGATTGTACTTTGGTACAAAGATGTTGATTGGTAGACATAAGTGGAAAACTTACGGTATGGAATTGAAAACCAACGCGTTGGTTTTTCATACCGTATGAATTACGAACCAACGCGTTGAAAAGGAAGACCAACGCGTTGATAGTGAAAACCAACGCGTTGAAAGTGAAACCAACGCGTTGAAAGTAAAAACCAATGCGTTGAAAGTAAAAACCAACGCGTTGAAAGTAAAAACCAACGAATAAAAACCAACGCGATGAAAGTGAAAACCAACGCGTTGATAATAAAAACCAACGCGTTGAAAGTAAAAACCAACGCGTTGAAAATTTCATACGGTATGTTCATACCGCCAATGACACGAACGGCCACTCATAGATATAAACATGTGTACACAAAGAGGACTATCGCCTGTTATGATTGCTTGTAAATATGGTCATACTGAAATGTTGAAAATGTGGTTAGATGAAAGAGTAAACTATACTTTGAATTGTTGTTCAAGTCACCTTTAATGATTGCGTGTAGAAATAATCAAAAAGAAATAGTGAATATGTTGCTTGACAGAGGGGCAGACTGTTATAAATGTGACGGGTTTGGTTGGTCATCTGTAACTACAGCTTGTATATATGGTTATACAGAAATAGTTCAGATGTTGTTAGACAGAGGAGCAGACTGTAATATATGTGACAAGAGTGGTCAGACACCTGTAATAATGGCTTGTAATCATGGTCATACAGAAATAGTGAAGATGTTGTTAGACAGAGGAGCAGACTGTAATCAATCTGATAAGAGTGGTCAGACACTTGTAATGATGGCTTGTACGGAAGGTCATAAAGAAATAGTAGAGATGTTGTTAGACAGACAAGCAGACTGTAATGAATGTGATGAAGATGGTCAGTCATCAATATGGGCATAAAGAAATAGTAAAGGTGTTGTTAGAGAGAGGAGCAGACTGTAATATATGTGACAGGTATGGTCAGCCACCTGACCATAAAAATGAAAATGATGGGCAGTCACCTGTAATGATGGCTTGTAAAAAAGGTTATACAGAAATAGTAAAAATGTTGTTAGATGGAGGAGCAGACTATAATACATGTGATTGGTTGGGTAAGTCAGCTCTAATGAAGGCTTTTCAACACGGTCATATAAATATAGTAAAGATGTTGTTAGACAAAGGAGCAGACTTCAGTATATTTGACTGGTATGGTCAGTCATCTGTAATGAAAGCTTGTGCAAATGGTTATACACAATGTAAAGAAATAGTTAAGATGCTGTTAGACAGAGGAGCAGACTATAATAAATGTGACATAGATGGTCACTCACCTATAATGATGGCTTGTGAATATGGTCATATAGATATAGTTAAGATGTTATTAGACAGGGGCGCAAACTGTAATAACTGTAATATATATGGTCAGTTATACAGACGACTGTGGGAATGTAATTATTTAAATGATAAAATGAGGATAATGTCAAACAGAGGATCAGACTGTAAAAAAAATGAAAATGATGGTCAGTCAACTGTAATGATCGGTTGTAAAAAAAGATGAAGATGTTGTTAGATAGAGGAGCAGACTATAATAAATGTGACTGGTTGGGTAAGTCACCTCTAATAAAGGCTTGTGAACATGGTCATTCGGGAATAGTAAAGATGTTGTTAGACAGAGGAGCAGACTGAAATGAATGCGAGTAGTAATTCACCTGTAATGATGGCTTGTACAAATGGTCGTAATATAAGAGACAGCTATAGACTTTCAGCTTTTGTCATTTTAATGAAAGCTTATGACTATATAGTAAAAATGTTGTTAGAGAGAGGAGCAGACTGTGATAAATGTGATAAAGATGGTCAGTCACCTATAATGATGGCTTGTAGACAAGGTCGTACAAAAACAGTAGAGTTATTGTTAGATAGAGGAGCAGATTGTAATAAATGTGATAAAGATGGTAAGTCACCTCTAATGAAAGCGTGTGAACATGGTCACACAAAAATAGTGAAGATGTTGTTAGACAGAAGAGCAGACTGTAATACATGTGATAAGGATGGTCAATCACCTGTAATGTATGCTTATAAACATGGTCATACTGGAATAATGAAGATGTTGTATGACAGAGGAGTGTAGACTGCAATACTTGTTTTGCCAATGGACACATTATAATGGCGTGTGAACGTGGTCATAGTAAAGAAGTTGTTATATAGAGGAGCAGAATGTAATAAATGTGACGAGACTAGTCCGTGGACTGTAATGATGGTTTATATAAACGGTCACAGAGAAATAGTAAAGATGTTGTTAAACAGACACGCAGACTGTAATACATGTTTTGCCAATTGACAATACCCTTTTATGAGGGTCGTAATAGAGATATGTTCATAACAAATAACGGTGAAAAATCTTGCCAAATGACGTTAACGGTAATTGTTGGTGCATTACGATAAATGTACACTTTCTTTAACATGTTTAAGACGATAAAAAATTTACTGATTTTGACGAATCACGTTAATTTGTTCAAAAAATGACAGTAACGATAAATATTTGAGACCTCTGACGAATCACGATAATGATATTTTGACGAATCACGGTTTAACCAATTTGACGCTAACGGTAGCCGCAAATTACCGTTTGACCCCTGCCGGTAAAGCTAGGTTCACACTGCCGATCAGATCAACTCGATGATCCCGATTGTCCAAATTTCCACGACCAAGCGTAACCAAATTCTTGATCGGGCCAGTTTACGACTTCTACCCGACTGATATCCGACTGTACACTAACTTAACTCGACCATTCACGACTCCTTGATGACTCCATCACGACTCCAACCCGACCACTAATTGAATACATATTCGATGATTCCGACCAATTCACGATCTCTACACGATCTCTACTCGACTAGCTAGACCAAATCAACTATACTCGATCTCAGCCCGATCTCGGCCAGATCAGATCGATTTGATCGTATAGGGGTCGTAGGGATAGTCGGGCATTGGTCGGGTATGTACAATTTCACTATAAAAACGTCTGAATTTTCTATATCACCCGCAGCAGCGGAGGGGGCATTAAGTGTTACCCTTGTCCGTTCGTAAGTACGTATACGTACGTCCCAACAATTAGTTTCCGTTCTCTTATTTTATTTTGCCTCAATCAAATTCTATGAAACGTATACACAATGCTTAATACCATAAAACACAGATCAAGTGCGAATTTGGGTGGCGTCACTTTTATCGTTCTTGGGTAATGACTCTTTATAGCGTTATATGCAAGCTGGGGCATTATCTGTGTACCATATGGACACATTCTCCGTTTATTTGGTTAGATACAGTAGTTCACAGAATGTCTGAGAAAAATTATACATGTAAAGTATCTACATGGAAATAAAGCAGTTGGATTATTTGGCAAGGTGATTGGAGCTCAGATAGATAGGTTAATATCTGTGACGGAGCTTGAAGAGAGTATAGAAGACGAACAAAAAGGGATATACAGCAAATGGTGCCGATAATCTAGATGATGCAGTGGCTGACACGGCGACCACTGTGTGGGCAGTGTAATGTAATAACAAAAAAACTGAACTCCGAGAAAAATTCAAAACGGAAAGTCCCTAATCAAATGGCAAAATCAAAAGTATGAGAGATTTGCAGAAGCTCAACAAAGAGGACCCCAATAAAAATTTCCTGAAAGTAAAGTAGGACGCTGATTTGTTATGGGAGTTTTACTGCTCTTTTCTTGAAAAAGGCACAACAAAATGAGATTTGTCACTCGATAAGTACTGATGTTGCTTTCTTACAAATTAAGCTTCTGTTTGTGTCATATATGTGCATATGTATGTAATCAGTATTTTCCAAATATCTGATACCCAGTAGTTGAATGGTTCAATATATTTCTTTTTGGTGTATCCATGGCAACAACCTGCTTGTTTTTACTAATAATATTGCAAAAAGGGGGTAAATGTCACATGTTTTCCCAAAATTTGGCTAAAAATAGAATTTCAATCCCCTTGATGATACCTTTTCTGAAACTGTTTACATAAATCTATCACGAATTCAAATAAAAATCATTCGTCTGTCGTCTCATTATTTTTTTTAAAAAGCGTATGAAAAAAAGTGTTTGTAAAAACATTCGACCGTACAGTGACATATATATTTTAATTTCTGTGTCATTTGGTCTCATGTGGAGAGTGGTTTCGGTAGCAATTATACCACATCTTCTTATTTTTATACTACAAAAATGTCTGGACATCCAGAAAATACGGACAGTCAAACAAAAATAGCCTATTAAACATGAAAATATAATATGGATGTTCTTAAAAACTAACTTTGAAGGCTTAATAAGTCATCAGCTGTCTAATAATGAATTCTAATGCACAATTACTTTCATATTTGAAAAATCCTCTGGGGCAAAAATGCAGGATTTACTTCCCTTCCAGAACACCTGAGATCATCCCAGGTTTAATTGGGTTTCGTGTTGCTAAGTTTTTAGTTTTCTATGTTGTGTTATGTAGACTGCTGTTTGTCTTCTCGTCGGCTTGTATAGTTAAAAAAAAAGTGACATTTTAGTTTTGCAGAAGCAAAGTTATGAGAGTTAATCAGAGCTGCACACATTTTAGAGAATCGTGTATGGCCAAGTAGAGATCGAAGATTGGTCGAATGTGGTCGCGTAGAGATCGGGTATTGGTCGAGTTGGTCTGGGATGAAAAAAATATAGAAGTCGCAGTGATTATGAAGCGATCGGGCATTGGTCGAGTTAATCTTGACCACATATCGAACAGGTTGGCGTTGATCGGGAAATGATCGGATATAAGTCGAGCAAAGATCGAAATGATCGAGTACTGATCGGTAAACTATTTGTATTCCGAACAAACTCGATCTCTACACGATCCTTTTCCGATCAATTCGACCGCTTCTCGACAAATTCTCGATCTCTTCTCGAGTGACTGGCTTCTGGAACCATACTCGAATGTTTTTGACATGTCAAAAACTCTCGGGTAGAAAGTCAGACCGATGACGACCAAGGAAGACCACCCCGAACATTCTTGTCGATTGAGTCAGACTAGTCTCCCGATCGCTTAATTTGTCTTGATCGGGATTGATCGTGTTTGTCTGATCGGCAGTGTGAACCTAGCTTAAAGGGTATTCCTACCCTCTTTTATGATGGCGTGTGAACATGGTCATACAGATATAGCAAAGATGTTGTTCGACAGAGGAGCAGACAGTGATAAATAGGTGACAGGTATGATAATTCACCTATAATGATGCTTGTGAAAAGGGTCACATATATATATAGTTAAGATGTTGTTAGACAGAGGCGCAGACTGCAAGAACAGTAATATATATATAGTCAGTAATCTGTAATGACGATGTTTGGAGATAGTCATTAAAAAATATAATTAAGATGTTGTAAGGCTGAGGAGCAGACTGTAATTAATGTAAGGATGGCAATCATTCACCTGTTATAATGGCTTGTAAAAAAGGTCACACAGTAAAATGAAGATGTTGCAAGACAGTGGTTTAGACTGTAATTAATGTGAAAATGAGGATCAGTCAACTCTTGTGAGCATGGTCATACAGAAATAGTGAAAATATTGTTAAACAGAGGAGCAGACTGTAATACATCTGTTCTTTTAGGTCAGTCACCTCTAAACATGGCTTATGAACATGGTCAGACAGATATAGTAAAGATGTTGTAAGACAGTGGAGTAGACTTTGATACAAGTGATGAGCAATACTAAACTGTTGTACAGATTTCGTTCAACATTTATTGTTCTTGTTCTAGAGATTTATTCTGACATTATAAAGCAAATGAAACTATATCAAAGATGTATTCTGATTTTTTAAGGAATGTGATATTATTGTAAAGGTGAATTATGACACTTTAAAGCAATACAGTTCTACGGCAGAGATGTTTTTTGACATTATATAGCAACGTGAAAAGCATCAAAGATACCAGAATTATAATTTAGTCTGGCAGACTAAAGACTCATCACTGACACTCTAATCTAAAAAATAAAAGGTCAAATAATGAAACTATTGTAAAAATTTATCATGACATTTTGAAGCATTATGTTACTTTTGTATTAGTCTTTTGAAATAAAGTATGACACAATAAAGTAATACGCTACTTATTAAAAGATGTCTTCTGACATAATGAAGAAGTGTGGAAATATTGTAAAGATTGATTTGACTAAAAATCAATATGATATTGTGTAAAGATAAGTTCTGACTTTACAAAATATATATTACTGTGTAAAGATAAATTCTGACATATAAATGCTTCAACTTTACAAATAATACACGATGGTCTTAAACGTATTGATTTTGGGGACTGCCGTTGTTTATCATCCTAATAACGTGTTATAGTATTCTTATATTTGTCTTTATGAATATTACTTTTACTGTTTAGTCTGTTTTTGGTGATATTCATTTGACGTGACTCTGTACTTATACATCTCGTCGTTGTGTAATTGTTCTATGATAATTTTTGTGTTCTTGTCTTTCATTTTTGCTAATGTTTTTTGTCTATATGTCTTTTTGTGCTCCCTGTTACATATTTGTTTGTTTTATAGTGATAAAGATTATAACAAAATGTTGACTGCTGTACCCCTATTTTTGACATTTTTACCTATTGAATCTGTTTGTTTTGTTCACACATACTTGTCAATATAATAGAATTTGATGCGACTGTCATACAAGTGAGAGGTTAAGCTAGCTATAAAACCAGGTTTAATCCACAATTTTCTTCATAAGAAAATGCCTGTATCAGGTCAGGAATATGACAGTTGTTATTCTTTCGTTTGATGTGTTTGAACTTTTGATTTTGCCATTTGATTAGAGAATTTCCGTTTTGAAATTTACTCGGAGTTCAGTATTTATGTGATTTTACTTTTTTATACTACTGTTGAAAATATGTATTCTGTCATTCTAATGTATAGTATGCTTCTACGTATTGTAAAGAAGA